CAGTTTGTGGACAAGGAAATTCAAGAGTTGATAATAACCTTGCCTCAGTTGTATGCAGTGAATTAGGATACTCAAGATATGGTATTAAATGATACACACATTGTAAGTATTAATATCATTCAAATAGGTGCTAAGAGTGCTACTGGTCTTTGGTATAATTATGATTTATTTAATTTCTTCAACATACGCTGTTCTGGGGTTGAATCTAGTATACTTGGTTGTCAATATAACACAGTAGGGACATGCTCTAGCAGCAGTGCTATTGGAGTTGTGTGCTCTCACAGTGAGTGTCATCATAAAGTATTAGTTAATTTACAATTTATAATAGACACTATTAAAGCCCCAGTAAATTGTACTGATGGTAGTATAAGACTGTATGGTGGTTCCAGTGCAACGGAGGGTATACTGCATGTGTGTGCTAATGGAGCATGGGGCACAGTGTGTTCAGGTTATTGGGATAATCAAGATAATGCTGTAGCTTGTCGTCAACTTGGCTTCTTACCATATGGTGAGTAATTGATTACATTATGCATACTTTTATTCATGTTTCATTATTTTAGGTTATGAAACTCATAGCTCAGTAAATGATTTTCCAGCAATTTTCTCTTATTTCAGCTGTCAAGGAACTGAAAGTAATTTGTATAGTTGTAGGTACACTGGATTGAGTTATGCTTTCTGTACAAACCGTCAGGTCATCAAAGTCACTTGTGAAGGTATTATATTAGATCAACTGCATTTTATTTTGTTACTATTTAGAGCAATGCAAAGAAAATGCAGTTCGCCTTGATGGTGGTTCAAACTATTATGGTCGAGTTCAGTTCTGCACTGGAGGAGAATGGCGTACTATTTGTACAAATTACTGGGACAATAAGGATGCTAGTGTTGTATGTAGGCAGTTAGGATACTCACCTTATGGTAAGTGTTTGAATTTTGGGTTTGTTCTAAAGCTTTGTAGGAGCACTGGTTGGTGAATACTCATGGTTTAGTAGTTCTCTATATACTAATGTTCTCAGAGGTGTTAATTGTGTTGGGAATGAGACTAGGCTTCAAGACTGTCCTACAGACAGCAGTGCTAGCTGTGGCTCTAGTTACTATCATGCCACTGTCATTTGCCCAGGTTTGAAGTAAATCTAAAACTTTTAATCATATACAAAATAGTTCATGGAACTGTATCATACTCTAATTGTACTGATGGAGAGGTTAGACTTTTTGGTGGATCCACTGAATATGAAGGAACTGTTGAGATATGTCGTAATAGCGCCTGGGGGACAATATCTTACTATTCAATTTCAGATTTTACTGCACAAACAATTTGCAATCAATTAGGATACACTGCACCAGGTTTAATATAAATTCTGCAGTATTGGTTTTATATTTAAACAATCCCACAGGTGCTACAGGTGTTCGTTATTCTTATTTCGGTGAAGGCAGTGGTCCTATTTTGATGGGTTATGTGTATTGCTCATCAGTTACAACTTCATTATCAAACTGTTACAATCTAACATATTATATAACATATTATAGTCATTATTATGACATTGGAGTCAGATGTGAATGTAAGACCAATACTAAGTTTTTAATAATTTTACGTTTATTTCAGCTTCTTGTACAAATGGTGACATCAGGTTAATAGGCAGTAGTAATCCTCTCGTTGGTAGAGTTGAAGTGTGTTTTGATGAAACTTGGGGTACCAATATGTGATAATGGTTGGGACCAATAATGAT